TATGTGCGTATAGTAAAAGGTCCTTATGCATGTTGGGGAAATATTGGTAATAACCTCGTGACATAACCACTATATCATCATCGGTAACGTGCCAGGGGATAATAAAAGTATACCAGGGAATTACCAGTATTGACAAACAAATATATTTATTTTGAAAACAATAACTCTATTGATACAGTTAAAAATGTTTTAACTATTAATCACAAATGAAAGTATTGAATTAGCTGTGGTCCCGTCCTTCCAGGAGAAAATCCAAAACAAGTTTGTTGAACTTCTCTGCATATCGTAAGTGAAGATTGTGCTTACCATCTGACCATTTTACAAGCCTAAACAATAAAACATAATTAAACTGCTGTAAATAAATAAATTATTTATAAATCAAACAATATACCTTAAAAGATGAAGTCCTTTGTGAAATAGTCAGTTTTATTCATTTCGTTTCAACCAAAATAATGTAAACATTCATCACAGTGCACATAAATGCAAAAATTCCCATGTGACATAAACATGTGTAGAGTACATTTAATGCTTAAAAGGTGGTGGTTCACGGTGGTGCATGTTAAAATTTTGTGTAAACAAAGTAATATTATACAGATGATGTATATACGTTTTATTCCATATCGAACAGGATGTGGCTTGACGACTAGCTTTAAAAATTGCATTTGACTACATGTATGTTCCATTCAAAAATAAATGAATAATATTGTAATTGTATTTGCATGATAAATGTTGCCAAACATCACCAAGCAATTGTAATTTCATGTCATCAAATCACATGCGGGATGTTCTGTTTAGTGATAGAATATTTTTATTTGACGTTAAAATTAACCTGAGATGCACACAACGATTCCTGAGTTGTTACTTTTATCTCCATATATAGGTCTTGTATTACCACTGAGGCCGAGAACAAGAACAATTGTTGCCTATGATCGTTATAACAATAATTTATTATTATAAAATAGTTTTAAAAAAAACTGTTACAACAAAAAATTAATAAATAGAGTAGTGAATCTATGCATACAAGTCAGTCTGCACATCTCATGCATGTTCTCATGGTAATGTACTTAAGTCGTGGAAACTTTAAATTGCTAGAATCTGGCTATTATTGACTAGAACAATTCAATTCCTCTCAAATTTATCTTGAATTACTAGTAGCAAGTCTAGAAATAAACAAGCATGCATTACAGTATATTTACCTTGATCCTTTGATATTGGCATGCAAGTAATCAGCATGAAACATAGGCACCATTGCATCCTTCTCACCATGCACGATCAGAGTTGGACACTTGACGTCACAAAGATTCTTTTTACAAATATCTCCATTATTGCCATGGTAATAGGTATTAATAATACCATCCATCCATGCATTCCATATTTTCTCAAATTCATCACCATATACTTTGATCATTGGGGCCCGCATACGTTCACTCCATTTTGATATATCTCTAGTGGCTGTCAAGAATTTTGCAAATTGGTTTTCTTTGTTAATATACTGTGTTGACACATGTGCAAATGTTGACTTGTACTTCCCCCCCAAACTAATAAGGTTTGAATGTTAAGCATAAATAACAGCTCAAAATACAGATTTTAAAACGTTTATCGTATGAGATAACAAGCAGCCTGTTGGCTGAGATAGCTTCGCTGTTAGCAATGCACATTTCAATTAAAGAACAGAAGATATCTTTAAAAAAAGAACAATATGTATAGTATCAAAGCAATCAGACTTGCTGTTTGCCACAAGAATTCAAAAATATCACTTTTTATCAAAAATGACAAAAATATTCATTAAAATTAGATAATTGAAGACATCATCTTGAAATGAACAAATCTGAGAGAGGTCCACATGTAGTACCTATATATATATAGTAGCAAAGCAATCAGACTTACGGTTTTCAACAAGAAGTCAAAAATATCACTTTTTAACAAAAATGACAAAAATATTAAAGATAAAATAACAAAATGAACAAATCTGAGAGAGGTCCACATGTAGTACCTATATACAGAATTTCAATGCAATTGGACTTTTGGTTTTTAACAAGAAGCTGAAAATATCACTTTTTACCAAAAATATTCACCAAAATTAGAAAATTAAAGATATCATCACAAAATGAACAAATCTAAGAGAGGTTCACATGTAGTCCCTATATATGTAATATCAAAGCAATTGGATTTGCGGTTTTTAACAAGAAGTCGAAAATATCACTTTTTACCAAAAATGACAAAAATATTCACCAAAATTAGAGAATTGAAGATATCATCATGAAATGAACAAATCTAAGAGAGGTCTACCCAAGGTACATATACACTAAGTATCCAAGCATTCATACTTTTCAAGAAGAAGTCGAAAAATTAAAACATTGACACGGACGACGCCGGACAATCACTCATATGACAAAGTCGAAAGTGGAGCTAAAAATAGTATTTAAACATGTGAGGATTATATGGTTGAATAGAACCAATGGTGGCATTCACGTTAGAGATGTCAACTTGTGCCGAGATTCGGTACAGAGTTGGCGCGTACTGAAACATGTGTGTGAACAATTGTGACTGATCAGCATGTGCAGAAAAAAACTTGATCTTGGTCCCGATAGATGCTCGGGATCGAAATTCAGCATGTACGGAGATTTCCTGTCTGAACGCACAGCAGAAACCAAACCCTCGGTGGAATTTAAGAGAATATGTACTGTCTAGTATGACATGATGATGGAGGGAAGTGAAGTTAGATACGTTCAGATGCTGTAGTAATGAATGAAATGCTGCAACCGTTTTTTTTTTCTTGCAATACTACATCAACGTAAAAATAATAATTGTTTTTAGATTCATCTTTGCTGTTCATGTGCACAATGACTTGTGATAAATGGATATAATTTCAATATAGCAATTATTATTATCATCACATGCAATTCGTTTTCCATGTTTGGGTCAAATAACAGATCAAAGAGTAAGAGTGTGATTTCGGCATGAGCCGAGTGGGTCCCAAGTGGGTCCTGACTAACATGAACGCTACTGCTGTAAATCGCTCAGCAAACACAAAGGATTACAAATTTCAGCACATGCTAAAATCCCATAATGTGAACGTAGTAAATATTGAAGTCAATCTAAAAATTTTTACCAAAGACCATTCATTTTGGAGTTATTGCTCGCACAATCATGTGACCCGTCTTTGCCCCTTTTATTGCCATTTCTGTTTGCTATATACTGTCCTCAACGGTATTTGTATATACACAGACAAGCGGCTCCCGGGCAGTTACAAAGCAACAAGAGACTGGGACAAAGCTTATATAACATTGATTTTGTTTCCAAAGTGACTAAACAAGCCATTAACTGGCTAAGAAAGGTAATGTACTAATAACCATTGTGGTCAAAGCCCTTAGTGGAAGCCCAAGCCCAGATAACTGTACAGGTACCCCCACCTGCAAAGAGGAAGCCAAGGTGAACCTTCCAAACAAGCAGATCAGGACTACATGCCAGAGTATTTGTAGTTCTATTCTCTTTAGAAAACTATACTATTATGCAACATTTACCTTCATACATCTGTACATCATCTGCTGTTACATATGCATTGCCACCCCATACAACTAAACGATCAATAACAGATGCATATCTTGATGCCGCTATTAAAGCAGTTATAGCACCGTCACTCCAACCCAATAGTGAAAACTTCTGAAAACCTATTTTCTGAATATAAGAGAAATACATCAAACTAAAAAATAAATAAATTAATGTTGAATATACATCAAATGTAGTATTAATATGAAGTTATTACAAGGATACTGCAGCGTATTAACCAATGTGCATACTGTTCGTGTACATCTTTTCCTCACAGGAATACATGTACATCATGCCTAAATCAAAAACGTTTAGAACAGATTTAGTGAACTACTTTGTGTGGAGTCCAGTCAAACCCTGGTGGCAGCCATGTTTGTTTTTATTGTAAGAGAACGCTTACTGCATAATCGTTTCATATTTGGAATTTGCATTTCCTAATGTGGTAGGATGAAAATACCGAGTGCAATACTGCAAAATTATGGCACACTGTGATTTATGGCGTTACAGTGACAGATGTATAATCTTCTTTATTGTAACCGTAAAGATTACAGACTTTTTTCTGGTTTGTACATAATAAAGTATTTTTTTGAAAATAATACACCGGTAGTATGAATAACTGAGTAGTGCTTGTCTTTTAGTGAAAGCATTGTTCATGTATCTGATACCGGTAACATTTAAGTAGAAATGGCTCTGTCATGAATATGTCCATGGAATTCTGTGTTGTACTTTCTGTTGATTTGTTCATAAAGTTCCTGTCTTTCACCTGAATATATTATGAAACGCGTTTCATCTTCAAGTCTAATGAATGTTTTGCAAATATTTTCATCAGCTTGTGTTTTGGGAGGTGTATGTCTCAATTTCAAATTTCTAGCTTTAGGAAGCTTATTTAATATTAGGCTAATGTTTTAACTTTCTTTATATTTTTTTTCATAATGTTTAAATAGGGTGCACATTTAATTGTATTATTTAAAAGTTAAGATGTGTTCCAAATCTTTGTATATTTGTTTTCCTGATATACATATATCATGGAATTTCTGTTTTTTATTATTGTCAATGTTCTTTTCATTTCAATTTTAACTATGCAAATCCAGAGGGATGGGTTGATTCGTTGTCATGTGGGATTACCGGTACATAATCTAATGTCACACTGAAACAACAAATACCAGTAACTATTCAAAAAACAGTACTGAACCAAACTGATATCTGAAGGTACCAGATGTTGTACCTATCGACTGGCCTTATTCAGGCAAAATCATACCTCTGTTGCAATTGTGGGTCACCGGCCCCCAAAAATGTTTGAGGTGCTTGCGACCTACATCCCTTCTACGTCTTGTCGTTATGGGTTTAATGTCTTAAACCACTTCGGATTTCAATAGAATAAAAACAGTTTAATGTCGGCACTCTACTAACAATAGATCAAAGAGTATTTATGGAAACATAGAAACAAGATGGTTATACAGATAGAAGTTTAGTTACTTTCATAAGGTCAACAGCATCCTTGGCATCCACATCAAAGAATTTAGCAGAGAAGTTCCTCTCTGCTGGTCTTGATTTACCATATCCTCTGGGATCCCATGCGATGACTGTTAAGTGATTCCTGTTTAGACCTTCCAACTGAGGGGAAAAGTCTGTGTCTGATGAACCTTCAAACATATCAAAACAGCAAAATTATTTCTCTCAATATGTGAGAAATAATGTATAAATCATATAATTTTTTACTACCTAATTTTATGTTATTTTAATGTTCTGTTTTTTACTTACCTTTTTACCTTACCTTTTATTACTTTCATCCAAAAATGAATTTGGAATTTCATTACGGTGTAATAAAACTGTATTATTATCATTATAACTACAAATTTTGTTATTGTGAGAAAAATTGCATCATTTAATAATGTTTAATATATAGAATATAACACTAAGTTAACAAACTCTGATCACATACCTAATGCACCTGGCAGGAGGAGAACCGGAAGAGCTCCAGTCCCTGCTTTCTTGTAATGGATACTGGCACCATTTACTTCCATTTGATGCTCAGTGACACCAGAACTGAAATAAATAAATTTTTTATTTATTTAATTAAATTACATATATAAAAACAATTGATTACAGCTTACGAAAATACCCCTTGCTGACCCTCTTAAGATGTATAAAAAATGTCACTTCAAACACGATTTTTCTAGCGGTTGTGATGGCAGTCACCTAGCTATTTGTAGCTAGTGTCATTAGCAGTTTTTACCTTGTCTTGTTTTTACAGCGATTGTCAACATTAAAAAAGTATTTTCATTTGACACAATTAGAATAAAGAGTGAACCTTTCTCACAACTTTTAAATAAAGATACATTTTATTGGGAACACTAAGATTCAAAATCTAGATCTTCCAATCAGTTATATTATGGTCACTTTACTGCATGATAAAGGAAGTGATTTGTTTTCAACCATTATTTAAAATTATATATAACATTTATGAGCATTTTATTTAAGGTGTTCATGCCTTCATAAAACGAGCGAGTGTAAAATCCCAGTTGTTTTTGGCAAGCTTTTATGTTTTTATATATTTTTTAACAATTTAAACATTTTTAAAAAAAAAAGTTTAAAGCATATATTTGGTGAAGGGATTAAAATAATGCATTTCAACAATTTACCCCTTTTCTTGGTGTGAGAGTTCAGCTGGTTTCTCCTGGAGGCAATATTATATTCCATCCCTTGGAGTATATTGAACCACAGTCCCTCAGACAGTGTTGAGGGACTGTGATTGAACATACCATTTATAAGCAATGAAGTTTAACTTTTGTTTTCTATTCCTTCACTGATATATATTGCTACCAAGATAAGGAAGTTTAACAGACATGGGTAGTCTTCGTCACCCAACAAAATTAGGGATTCTATGTAGATTTCCAAGTACTATAAAGAATGATTCTCCAAATATGTTTCAGTATGAGATGAACAAAATTACATTGTTTGGGTCTGCTCACCACATCCCTAGCGTCAAAGGCACAACCTTACTAGCTTCGCCCCCAAACAAGCTGAAACCCTTTTGTGTCAGCAAAATTTGTCCCTCAAAATACAGGAAATAGCGTTTCAGAGGGTTTAGATTTCAAAATGTCCGGGGGAGCATGCTCCACTGATCCTTACCTTACCACCAGATATTTGTAGTATTTCATGTCAGTGAAATTTAGAACGCCGTATCGAAATGGTTTTAATTTAGAACGCCGTATCGAATTTGGTTTTAATTTCGGCGGTACTGTTCCGAAATATGGCGTAAAATGTTCGTGACTGCCTCGTCGTAAGTTCTTCCATACCACTCCCTCCACATGAACTCGTCCAAATACCCAGGCAACATGCTTTCCAACACTCCCGTTCATTCTCTTCAGCTTTGCCTTGGCTCTATTCCAGTAACTCTCAATTGCCTGAGTATGGACTCCGGTGACTGGGTCGACGAAATGGCGGCTATGATTAACGGCGGCATATGAATAACGGTCGTTGTTCGCTAGCTGTTGGTAGGCTGCCCACTGGTCCGAATGGATAGTGGTCCCAGGAACAACCTTGTCTTGGATTATTGGAAGAAGGGTGGCGGCATCACGGTGTTCGACGATCTGCATATAACCAATGGATGGTTTATAAAACCTATCAACCATACCAAACACCCATCTTTCTTCAGCTGGGGCCCTTTCGCGATGATGCTTGCACTTGTGGCAAAATAAACTTTCGTCTATTTCAACCACGGTGCCTGGACACCCAACTCAATGTCTTCGCCCATCAGCTTTGTACTGCACACTTCACGCAAAAAGTTGCAATAATCTACAAGAGACTGGTGAAAGACTCCAGTCTCAGTACTAATCTTCCGTGTCGGATAGTCCATAGCCCATTTTAGTATAATTTTTAAAAGAATGTCCAAACGTAAACGTGACTTGGAAAAAAAAAGATCCATGTCTAATTGATAATCGGTTTCGAAATTTTGCGCAATCCTTATTTAAACATCGCGAAGTAAATCCGTCAGTACAGTTTTTAGCGTTTGCCAAAACCATAGGCCGAACACAAGAAAGACAATTTTGCTTCGTTGCCAAAAGCCTATGTTCCTTGAGGAATGGTATGGTTTCGTCAATACCACGGATTGCGCTAGCCTGTCGATAAAAGGCCATATTGAACTAAACGAAATGGAAATAAGTCAAATGTAATATTAAATTTAAAGTTGAATTAAACAGCAAATCTGAAGCCAAGTGGAATCGAATTAAAAGTTATGGAATTAGTTGTAGAATGGAATAAAGAGTTTGAATAACAAATCTAAAAGTATGCCTGGTAAAATAAACGAGCTTGTTTGCCACTAGGAGTACCCGAGTTGCAGAAGGCCATTAGACCAATGATGGTAATGTGAAAAACTTGCATTTTTATACACCCTTTGACTACTCCTTCCAACCAATATTAATTGTTTATTAATGTCTTTGGCGGAATTTTTCCGTTAAAATAACTTGCCTTTTCGGTATGATTGAAAAACAAGCAGCCTATCGGCTGAGATAGCTCCGCTGTTAGCAATGCACATTTCAATTAAAGAAGTGAAGACATCATTAGAAAATGAACAATATGAATAGTATCAAAGCAATCGGACTTACAGTTTTTAACAAGAAGTCGAAAATATCACTTTTTACCAAAAATTACAAAAATATTCACCAAAATAAATTAATTAGAGAATTGAAGATATCATCACAAAACGAACAAATCTGAGAGAGGTCCACATGTAGTACCTATATATGTAATATCAAAGCAATCGGACTTACAGTTTTCAACAAGAAGTCGAAAATATCACTTTTTACCAAAAATGACAAAAATATTCACCAAAATTAGAGAATTGAAGATATCATCACAAAATGAACAAATCTGAGAGAGGTCCACATGTAGTACCTATATATGTAATATCAAAGCAATTGCACTTGCGTTTTTTAACAAGAAGTCGAAAATATCACTTTTTACCAAAAATGACAAAAATATTCACCAAAATTAGAGAATTGAAGATATCATCACGAAATAAACAAATCTGAGAGAGGTCCACATGTAGTACCTATATATGTAGTATCAAAGCAATTGGATTTGCGGTTTTTAACAGAAGTCGAAAATATCACTTTTCACCAAACATGACAAAA